TCAATAAAGGATAATTATCTAATCTGCTTTATGTAGTAAATACAATTCTGATACCAAAGTATGATATGTCTGATCACCCCCAGCCTGCAAAATTATACACCAATTCCTAATATAAATATAGAATTAATGCCAGGCACAGTAGCTCATGCCTGTAATCCCAGAACTTTGAGGGCCAAGGCGGGAGGATGACTTGAAGCCAGAAGTTCGAGACTAGCCTGGGCCACATAGTGGGACACCCTCACATCTCTACAAAAAACGTTTTTGAAAAGAAGAACTAACCAGTCACAGCAGCATGTGCCTACAGTCTCTGCTACGTTGGAGGCTGAGATAGGAAGATAACTTGAGCCCAAGTGTCCAAGGCTGCAGTGAGCTATGACTGGGCAAAGACACTCCAGTCTGGGCAGCAGAGTGAGACCCTGTCTCCAAAACTTAAAAAAAAAATATATATATATGTATATGTTTGTAGGTTTTCTATTAAAAATGATTACTTCATTATATATTTATACATTGTCTATTCAAAAGTATTACTTCATTTTATATGTAGTATATAATAGAATATATATTATATATCTAAAATAGATATAAATAAAATATATAATGAAATAATATTTATAGTCATAACTATAATATAAATATAATATAAACATATTTATATAATATATAGTTATATTTATAGTTTATATATAGTTATATTTAATATATAGGTATATTTATAGTTTGTATATAGTATAACTATAATATAAATAAATATAATATAAATATAATGTAAGTTTTCTACAGAAAACCTACAAACTGAATTCAACACAGTGTGTATACAGAAGAATTCTCCAAATACGGAGAGGAAAGGCGTTTACCCTTATCAGATTCTAGAATATTGCCGTCCTTAAATGTTTGTCCCCTCTAAAATTTAATCACTAACGTGGCAGTATTGAAAGGTATGGACTTTAAGAGGTGTTTGACTTATGAGGGCTCTGTTCTCATGAATGAATTAATCTATTCATAGGAGTATAAGGATGGCTTATTCTGGAAAATCTATTATGTTACAAGGGTTGATAGGCCATGTCTTACCAGAGACAGGATAGTGGGAACCATCAGCCCTGGCTATAACTACAAAAGGATACACTGTTATAGAACATTTTAAAACAACAATAAAATTAATAAAAGACCTTCTGCTTTTTATTATGATCATGTACTTTCAATTCTATATGATGTCAGAGATAAAATACTCCTCCTAAACAAAACATGTTTGTCACTCTAAATTCTAAACAATGGCCTGTACCCACGCCAGACAGCTCCCACTGCCTGCCCTTGATACACCACTGCTATGGGTAAAATTCAACCAAAGCAAACCAAAACACATGTGAATATGAATTAAAGGTCACAGGCCTTTAATAAAATGTAATATCTCTTGTTGACTTTTTTTTGGTAAAACTAGATATGGCAAGATAACTCAATATGATAAACATTGCAATCTTAAATTTTTATCATAATTGAAACTTTTAGAAGTATTTCATTAAAATAATAAAGCAATGATCCTTATTAATGGACTTACTTATTATTTTTACATTGCTCTTAAAATTCTGAAAAATACAATGAAATATGAAGTAGAAATTAGTTGTCTAGCGATAGGAAATAGACAAAATAATTAATAGATTATATAATTATGTAATTATTAAACCCAGAAAAGTGATGGAAAAAATCACTTAAATTGATTAAGCATTTAATACATGAACTGAACAAGTGAAAAAAAATGCTTTGTTTTCCTATGTCCTATAAATTTTGATCTATAAACTGATGAAAAAAACCAAAGATCAAATCACAGCACAAATTAAATTCTTAGGCATTTCTATAACAAAAAGTACATGATAATTATATGAGGAAAAGATAATATTTTCTAGAGAATTATGAGAAATAATTTTAAAAGGTAGACATGCCAGACTAGTAGATAAAAAGATGGAACATCTGAAATATTTTTATTTTAATTTAATGCATACATTTAATGGCAACCAAATAAAAGTTCCAGTAGAATTTCTTTACCTTGACTGAAATGTTAAATTTCCTGGAGGAAGAATAAACAAATAAGTAAAATTTAAAAAATAATCATTTCATAAAGGGAGAGGAGGGGTACTTGTCCTATCAGATATTAGAATATTGTCATGGTTTGAATGTTTGTCCCCTCCAAAACTTAATCACGAATGTGGCAGTGTGGAGAGGTAGGGACTTTAAGAGAGGATTGGGTTATAAGGGCTCTGTTCTCATGAATGAATTAATCCATTCCTAGGTAGATTAATAAACCTGTGGGCTAATGGATTGATAAGTTATCGTGGTAAAGGGACTGGTGGCTTTCTGAAAGGAAGTAAGACCTGAGCTACCACGCTCAGCCCCCTCACCATGGATACCTTCTTCTGCCTTGGGAATCTGCAGCGTCTCCCCCAGCAAGAAGGCCCTCACCAAATGCAGCCCCTCCCGCTTTACTCCTCAGCCTCTATAACTGTAAGAAAGAAACTCCTTTTCTTTATGAATTTCAAAGTTGCAGGTATTCTGTTATAAGCAACAGAAAATGAACTAAGAAATGCATATTATATAACCTGAGTAAATAAAAGAATATGATATGAATGTAAGAATTAATTGACAATAAAAATCAATAGACACATGTGACATGGACTAACACTAATACTTGAGAACTCAGAATGTGGATGAGCTTGGAGGACATTGTTAGGCAAAATAACTTAGGCACATAAAGATAAATGCCATGTATTCTCATTCACAAGTGTAAGCTAAAAAATGTGATCTCATACCAGTAGAGAGTATAGTAGTGGTTACTAGAGGAAGGGAAGGATGTGAGAACTATGTAGTAAGAGGTTGGTTAACCAATACAAAAGTACAGCTAGACAGAAAGAATAGGTTAAGTGTTCTATCACACAATAGGCTGACTACAGTTAACAACTTATTGTGTATTTTCAGATAGCTAGAAGAGTGGATTATAACTGTTCCCAACACAAAGAAACGATAAATGTTGGAAGTGATGTATGTGATAATCACCCTGATGTAATTAATCATTACACCTTGTAAACAGATACCAAATCTCACATCTTACCCCATAAATATGTTTAATATTATGTGTCAATTAAAAATAATAATAAGACCAGGCACAGTGGCCCACGCCTGTAATCCCAGTGCTTTAGGTGGCTAAGGCAGGAGGATCATGTGAGCTCAGGAGTTAGACGCTGCAGTGAGCCATGATCTTTCCTTTTCATTGTATTCCAGCCTGGGGGACAGAGTGAGAACCTGTCTCAAAAAAAAAAAAAAAAAAAAAAAAAGTAACTAAAAAAGATAACTGGGTAGGAAAGTAAATGCAATTGGATAGGCTACTGGGGAATTTAATTTCTTGCACTGGATAGTAGGTATCCACAAATACTTGTTGATTTATTCCTTGTAACCCTAACTATGTATGAAGTATTTATTTTTTTGTTATTTTTCTACTCCTGTGACAGATTATGAAATGTTTTATTTTTAAAGGGACCAATGGGTAAAGGGGGATATTTAACAAATTGGGAAAATTTGTCTTTTGGAAGAAAACACAAGTTAAACTTTTGTTTGCATAGAGATTTCTAGATATTACCCATATTTCCAATATTCCTCCTTTCTGTGGATATACTATATGTTGCAGAGGTACATGTCCCTTTCTGATGAACAGGCTCTGATAAATTAATTAGGAGCCAGTGAATGATTGTCCATGCTCTTTCCTCTGTTGCAAACACCTGTGTCTAGAAAGATGGAGCTCCAGGTTTTGCAGCGGGAACTCATTTGGTAAGACTGTTCCCTCTGATAATGTGCAAGGCAGAATGTGTACCCAATGAATGTGTGTCTCTAGTGTGAGAACTCGCAAAGCAGATATTAATCTGTGCTGGTCACTATGGGTTGTATTTGATAAGGAATTATAAGAAAAACAGTTCTGAAAAGTATTATCTGTTTGCCAGCAAGAATGAAAAAAAATAGTTCAGATATTTGGGGTCTTGAATGAGTTAAACCAGTAATTGCTTTCAATCCTAAATAGTAAAAGAGAAAATGTTAAAAGATGTTAAAATTGAGCTGTTTACAAAAACAAACAAACAAGCAACAACAACAAAAATAAATAATTGATTTAGACTGCACTTTTACTCATAAAAAGGAATTAATGAGATAAAAATGCCTTAGGGAAAGATCAAACTAAGGGCCTGAGGCCCAGTAATCTTTTCAATTGGAAAAATAGCTCAGGTAAAAGAGCTTAAGGGTTCCATTCTCTCATCAAACCCAGATAGACTCAAGAAAACTACCAGGGTCTTTAAGCTGGGAGAGGTACAGGCACACGAGTGTAAAGAAATACAGATGAAGTGAGAAGTGTGTTAGATAAAGAATCATAGCTGTAATTATTGGCACAGGGAATTAATTGGAATTCAATAGGTTAGAAAAACCAACAAAGTTTTAAGAGAGTTGTATTGCTTAAGAAACTGTGAGCCTGCACTAAAAGTGTTTGAGACTCTAAAACAAGGGTGTCCAATCTTTTGGCTTCCCTGGGCCACACTGGAAGAAGAATTGTCAAACTAACTAACACTAGTGATAGCTGATGAGCAAAACCAAAAACCAAAAACAACAACAACAACAAAAACTCGTGATATTTTAAGAAAGTTTACAAATTTGTGTTAGGCTGCATTCAGAGCGGCCCTGGGCGGCGTGCTAAAACACCTCTCAGGCCCTGAGTAGGAAGTAGGCTAAGAAAACTTCGTATTCTCTAGGATCCATTTTATATGAGCCCAAGAAGGGAGAAAGGAAAGGAAAAATATCTCCCTGAGGGTGGAGACAGAAGACACAGAGAACAAGAACCAAGTTGGATCCTCCAGGAGAGCGGAGTCTGGGCCTCATGAAGGTAGGGTGCTCAAAAAACGTCTGCCTGGAAGGAATTCAGAATTTTTCAGGAACAGGGACTCCTGTTTCCTTTTTCAATTATGACATGTGTAAGAGCCAGATAACTTGTCATTTTAATTGCTAGACTTCCAAAGCTATGGGAGCTACCTGTAGACTTGACATAGAGAGTACAGTATGCAGTAGGCCCTTTGTATCCAAGGATTCGACTAACTGTGGATAGAAAATATTTTTTAAAAACTCAATAAAAACAATATAACAATAAAAACTAATGTAAACAAAACAATATAGCATTAACTATTTACATAGTATTTACATTGTATTAGGTGTTATAAGTAATATAAAAATGATTTAAAATATATGGAAGGATATGTATAAGTTGTGTGCAGATACTGCACCATTTTATATCAGTGATTTGAGCATCTGTGGATTGGATATCTATGGGGGTCCTGGAAACAAACCCCCATGGATACGGAGGGACAATTGTGTCACTCAGAGATTCTGGATTCTGGACTTTGAGCTCAGTGCCATGACTGAGGAAGACCGTGGGGTTTTCTCTCTTAGAGGGGAGGTAGGTATAATTGTCATACATATCTATACCACAGGGAGACTGCACTGAATATCTGGAGAAACAAAAGGGTAAATTGTGGCAGATACTACCAGTCCTTAGCAATATTTCCAGTTCTCCTTCTTCACTCCTCTAGTCAGTATGCCGGGACTAGATGACTGGTCCCATAGCCTGACTGTGTCTATCAGGAGCCAATGCATTATTTTCTGGCCCAAAGTACATGAGAGCTGATAGACCCATTTCCCACATTCTCCTCCTCTTCCACAGTGAACCCAGAGCTTTGGGTTGAGATGGGGGTGCCATAAAATGGAAGTACTCTGAAAAACGGAGCTTAGAGGCTTTTAACAGGTAAACGTGCAGTCCAAATTCTTAATTTGTTCTTGGTGTTGTTGCTGTGGAGGGCATCTGTCCAAAAGCTTTCAGCACACACATAGACTTTACATGAGCAAGGAAAAAAATGTGGGTTTAGACACTGAGATGTTAGTGTTTTTGATAATATAACTGGATCTCATAGATACATTTATCTTAGACTATTCTATGCTAAATACACACATTCACACAAACATACATGCATACATATCTAATGGATTAGTTAAAAGAAAATACATTTCAACTTTTAAGCCAAGAAAATGCAAGTAAATATTTAACTTATCTCAAGTGAAGACTTTACACATAATGTGGTGAAAACAACACAAGTGAAAAAGTAGATCTGATTACTTGCAAATAACACTTTTGAATATCAGAAATATCAACAACTAAATGAAAGTTAATGACATGCTGGGGAAAACATTTTTTGCAATAGAGGGTTTATGTCCTAATATATAAGAGGCCCTTAAAAATGAGTATCTTAAAATATCGGCATCACACACACACACACACACACACACACACACACACACAAAGACAAAGACTATAAACGTAATTCTTCCAATTTATGAAAACAGAAATACAGACAGATACCTTCCAAAGCCATCAGAATCTGAACCAGTGAAGAGGAGCACGTTGGCTTTCCTGCCCAATTAACAGTCGTAGAAGATCGCCTGAACTGCCCCTGGGGTGTGGCTATGTACCCTGAAAATATTTGACATACCAGAGCATACTTGGATGTGTATATACATATTTGTGAGAAATGTGAAAATAAATTGTTTTAGATTTTAATATTTTTCTTTATGTCTAACTTTCTTTAAGCATCAATAAGTTTTTAAAATGTAAAAATATTATAAATATTTTTGTGAGGCAAGAGGAATATTGTTGGGTCTTCTAGTTACAAACCACAGGATCCTAGAGATAACAATGAACACTCCCAAAAGCTCCCATTTAGGAAGTTTTTGGTTGATGGCATGACCCTTGAAGGGATCTGACCTCCTGAGAGAGTGACTCATAAATAATTACTATTTTTTATGATACAAATATTTTTGAAGAACAGCTAAAGTCTTCATTAAAATGGCATTATGCTCCTATGAGATTTCCCCATTCCCTAAGATTAGTATCACAGTTGAGGAGACCTGAGTATTCTGAGTATTTTTTTTTACCTTACAATTGTACATGAGTAATTATTTTGTGCAGTGCCATAGGTTAAATGCATATCATGAAATTCACTGTCCTCCCGATTGCCATTTCTGTCACTTAAGTCAATGGAAGTCCACAAAAATACAGTATGACTCAGAATATTGGAGCTGTGGCTAAGCAAGAAAAGTTCATTCAAAATTGATTTTCTTTCAGGAATCCTTGATATTCTTCATTCCAATTGTTCACCTCTACTGTAGGGCTCAGTAAACACTTAAGGAAGTTGCCGTGCACTGCAGCCTGCCGGAGACATGAAGGAATGTACAGGAGGATAATCGTAACATCATCAACTCAATTCTCCAAGGTAGCTGGCCAATAATGCTGTTCTAATTGAATAACTTATCCACAGCTATTTCCCCTGGGAAAGCCGAAGGCTCAGCCTCGGAAAGAGGCAGATGGTGCCGCATATACAATGAAACCTGTAATTTTCTCTTGCCATTGGACATGTTAACAGTGGGCTGTTTCTGCTTATTCCTTAGTATTTTATTTTAATAGTCCCTTCCCAAATTATAATGTACGATGAAGCAGCCAAAGACAGATTCAGTGATACATATCATATTTAATTTATCATACCTCTAGCTCACTGAACAACTCACTTGGTAGTCAGCAGCAGTATGTCAGGGACAGGTGCAAGCTGAAAAGAAAGCGACAGAAAATGACCCAGTTAAAACCAAAAGGGGAGATGAATCTTCAGGGTGACATGGCATTCACTAGCAGCAAAGTGTGCAGTATCAAACGCAATCTAATTCTGATTTTTTTTTAACAGTAATTTGCCATGGGACAGGCACACCTCATGTATTTGGGAAGACAATGGGAAGGTTCTGTTTTCTGCTCCAAGACTGATTCAACCAGTTGGATCTGGAAGGGGATAAAGGGCTTTGTGGCTGCTTGATTTTCATTGTCTAGTGGCAGCCAAAGTTGGAAAAGAGAGAAGTGCAGACTTTAAAGGCAAGCAGCGACAGCTCATCAGCGGTCTAACAACACGACAGATGACAGGCCCAGAGGCACACCCAGGGCCACCAGCCCATCAGCCTGTGCAGGATGTCAGAGAGCAGCTGCAGCAATGGAAGAAGATCATCCAGACTTGAATGTTGGGGCCTTGCTAAGACCACAGAGTCTTTGTGCTTTGGAAACAGTCCTCCCTACAGAGACCCCTTCCTAGAAAAGAGTGGAAAGAAACCAAGGTAGAATGGACACCAGAGAAAGGAGACCATGCTAATACTCTTGTGCAATGCTTCTTGGGCAGGAATTATGTCATAAAGAATGTTCCATTCTGCAAAGCCATGTCTCTCTCTCTGTGGTTTGCCTCAGAGGAGGGGCCTTTCATAGCTGTAGTGAGTAAGGGGGACCTCGTTGATGTTCATCAGATATGCCAAGGCACAGGAAGAAAGCATTGAGGTCACAGGGCAGCTCAGGTCCGCCTGTGGTAATTGAAAACGGGTGATGAGATGGGGTTGATTTTAGTTTGGAAAAGTAAATTAGTGCTGCACCACTCGGACATGGCTAATTCAGGAAGCCTCTGGCTTGTATGAGACACCCAACGTGCCTTTCAGAAAGAAATGACACAACAATTAATGTGTCAAATAATAATGTGCCACTCGAAGAAAGATAATTGTACCCAGCGTCAGGTAGTTATTAGGTCAGAACGAATGCTCATCCTTTCAAAGGCAACAGCGTCTATTCACTCTGGCATCCTACTGTAAGTACAGTATTGTGTTCATAATCACACAGACTGAAACCAGGGACACTGGGTTTTATCTGATTTTTCTACATTTGGAATTCCCTAAACAGCAAACTCAGTCATGTGAAACACAAATGAGTGTGATGAAAGACAGATTGTTATACCGGAGAAGAGGCTTTCTGTGCTTTTCACATAATAGAGAGCATGGGGACTGTTCCCCAGAAGGTTTAAGCATATGTAACAAAAACTATCAGGCCTGAGTTTGCTCATGTGTAAATGATAGTCTTTCCTTCTGGTGATTTAATGCATGAGGACATCAGTCAGTCACATCATGGCCTCAGAAGTCCTTGTTCAATTTCTGGTGCCATAACTTACTCAATGTGGGATCTGGACAAGTCATTTAACCTCACTGTGATTCTGTTTCCTCATTTGAAAAGCAGAAATAGAAGAGCCTGCTGTATATTTAGCTCCACATCTGTTGGGAGGTCAAAGAAGAAAGGATATGAATGTTTGTAAATATAAAGAACCATGTAAATGTAAGACATTATTTTATTAATGCTCCAGATCAATTGATGTTTAGTGAATGATAAAATGTGATATCTTTTGAACAGACACAGTTTTACTTAATAAAAACTAGCCAATGGCTTCTGTCCTTACAAATGAAAACCTTCATAATAAATGGGGGCTCTCAAGACCACCTGCCCAAAACTGAACTAAATCCTCACTTCATTCAACCAAGAATGGGGAACTGAAATACATGATGATTATATATGCATATGCTTCTGTTTCATCCACTCAGGCATGCTTGTGATGAGATATGAAAAATTAGCCATCTTTAGAAGGAGAGAAACACTGGGTTCGGGGGTATTTTTTCTGTACAGACAATTGGCCTCGTTATTGTCTAAAGGTATTTAAAATTAATAGAATGCAATTTTATGCTATATAAAATATTCAAAGCAAAGCTATTTTAAGGTATAGCTTCTATACCTTGTCCTCCCATGAAGATGCATTCTCAACTGATATCTTGACTATATGGACAACAAATTGTAAAAGAAAAATGTACAGTGTGGTGTTTGACCTTCAGTAGCTTATGATAGACATTCATACCTGTAAAGAGATCTTGTTAGAGGAAACAAACTAATATATAACAAACAGATAATTAAAGTAAGCAGCACTGAGACAGAGAAGAGTTGGTGACTTAGCCTGCTGAAGATAGACACTTTGCTAATTTGGATTAAAGAATATAGGTATGTCTGCTCCAATATCATATAAATGCCAAAAAACTCTTGCATTCTGCAAAAGACTACCTAAAAACAAGCAGAGCTGACAGGCAAAATAAGATTGGTGGTGTGAGCCCCACTTGAAATCTTTGTATAATTCTATCTTGAAAGTATTATTCCATTATTTCCATCTTTAGATAATTAATTGAAGTAAATCACTAAATCCAGTCCACTTCAAGAAGAAAGGGAATAAGAATTTGGGAGCTATCTTTGAAGCCATCACAGGCTATCTCTTAGAGATAAAGGAGTGTTTAAGGAAGAGAAGACAACATAGTTGGAGAGGCCCAAGAGTTGGCTCTTGGGATCATTTGATAATGGCAGCCACAGAGCGAGGCAGTGGCAATAATAATGAACAATCCAGCATAAGCCCTGTCCTCCCTTCCTGGAGGACAGAGGGAGGTGTTGGTAGTGGTCTTAGGTTTTAAGTGTGAAAATAAGTAATTCAAAGTCTAAGCTGTTGGAATTATAAATTATTTTGAGCCTTAAAGGAATGTGATGACAAGGCCTGAGTTACATGGCAGGCAGCTGCAACCTAAGCACCTGTAATCTGTGTTCCTCTGATTATAGATTAGCCTTCTTCCTTACCTATGTTGTTTTGTAAAATGCTGTAAATGACTAAAGGGCACTAGGGAAGCCTCCTTCCCTCTTCACCGTTGATCTTCATTATAGATTAACTTCCGTCTTACCTTTCTCACACAAAGACCTCGTGGCTATCACATTGTCTTAAGATGAAATGTTAAATACACTTTTACAGTGGAAAACATGAAAGCCAACCCTACAGAAAAGAAAACAAACTAACTAAATTGTTGTAACTCATAAACCAGCCTTGCATATAAAATGTTATAATCTTACTAAACTTCTTTGTTTTCTGCCTGTATAAGCAAGAACTTAACTTTTGTCTTTGGGGCACTGACCTCATTTATCTGAAGTCTGTGTCTCCTGGATGGCAATTCCCAGGTTTTCAATCAAATAAACTTTAAGATTCTAATCCTTTTGATTATTTCAGGTTGACAGAAGCAACCTGGGAGACGTGGTGGTAGGTCAGAGTCTCTTGAATTGTTTGGTAATTCCTGGCATAATTCTAAGGTATAAGCCAGCTGCTCTTTTGTCAAGTTATTCCCTAGAAAATGATCATTTTATTAAATATATGTGCCATTTTAAAATAGCAAATAATGATATGAAAGATGATTTTCTTAGACCTGAGCTTCTCTTTCAGGCTTTGTGGTACTCCTGCTTGCCACGAAAAACTATCCTAGAGAGTTATCCACTGTCCTGAGGTCCCTACATCATGTCTTCCTCCCAAGAATCATCCCCTATCCCCTGAGATTTTCACATTTCCTCCTAATCCTGGGGAGATCTTTGTAATATTCTGATCTCTTATTTCACCTCCACTGATTTTTATTTCCTCCACAATACCTTCATACATGTTCATAGGACCATGGACATATATATTGTACGTGAGTAATTCTTGGGATAATACCACTTCCAGGGCCCTACCCCAGACAATTAATTCAGAATCTCTGGTTATTCTAACGGGCAGCTAGAATTGAGAAACCCTAATCTCCAAAATCTCAATTTTAAGTATCCTATCCCCTAGCCATTACTTTCTACTCATTCTCATTCAAACACCCCCATCCCCATTTCAATTACTTTTTAACCTTATAATGACCTCTAATCCATTGACACTTTGACAATTCATCTCTCTTCTCTTGTCCTCACCTTTTATGTACTACACTATAGTTCGACACTACATAGCCACTTCTATTCAGGGTTCATAATATCTTGGTCATTCTATTTATTATGCATGTCTCACAAAATTTCAACTTTGGTTAAATTAATTACCCACTTAGTTCATGTTGGCATTCAAGCAGCAGAATATTGCCAAGGAAAATCATAGAAGTATGTAGAATGGTCTTATTTCAAATTATTATCAAAAGTTCATATGGACCCTTGACATTGAGAGATAGTCTCTCTACACTTTCCTAGTTATATAACTTTCCTGATTCTTCTGGATGATTATGATATAACACTTCTGTAGTGGGTTGAATAGTGTCCTCCAAAATACGTTTAAGTCCTAACTCCCAGTACCTGTGAATTTGACCTTTTTGGAAAACAGGGTCTTTTTGCAGTTATAATTAAGGATCTCAGAATGAAATGATCCTGGATTTAGGGTATGCACTATATCCAATGACAGGTGACCTTATAAGACATAGGAAAGGAAAACTGGAAACACAGAGGCCCAGGAAAGAAGACTGCCGTGTGAAAACGAAAACAAATTAGAGTTACGTTGCCACAAACCAAGGGATGCCAGGAGCTATCAAAGACTGGGATAGACAAGAGACGATTCTTTCACAGAGTCTTCAGAGGGGTCATGGCCCTTCCAACACCTTGATTTTGGACTTCTGACTTCTAGAATTGTCACAGAATAAATTTCAGTTGCTTTTAGCCTCTCAATTTGTGGTAATTTGCTATGGTGTTAGGAAACAAGTACAACTTTTCATCTCAAAACTCCAATCCCTTCTCTTTCTCTCACTCCCCACCTTTGCCCCCACTCCCTGGATGAGTTATATTTATTAATAAAATAGATGCAATCAGATGAAAACAATCTCTTGTTCCCACCAATCCCATATAACCACCTTCATTTGTATACACCATCTGCCTTTTCTTGCCTTGGGGTTCCTTTTCTGTCAAAGGATCCCTGTCCACTAATCTTTTTTATTCAACTATTATTGGGTGCAAAAGTAATTGGTTTTTGCCATTGAAAGGAAAGGCAAAACTACAATTACTTTTGCACCAACCTAATAATGTATGCCCAGTTACCCCCTCCTCTGTCCTGTACTATCATCAGTTGTCTACTAGAATCATTTCTATTGGCTTAAAAACATGCTTTGATATTGTCTATCTTAAAAGTGTGTGTGTGTGTGTGTGTGTTTGTACATGTACATGCTTTCGACCTCGACTTCATACCCCTCTCCAAATACTGTTTACTTTCTCTGCTCCCCTGACAGTTCTACTCCTTAAAAGAACTGTTCATAATTATTATTTCTACTTTCTTACTTTCCCTTTTCTGCCCAATTTACTTTGATCAAGTTTTTCTTTCTACCACTTCACTGAAAGACCTCCTATAATGATCTCTAATGTCTTGCATTTTGCTAAACCCAATGACTAATTCTCTGTTTTCATTTTCCTCAAACTTGCAGCAGTTGACGTAGTTCTCCACTCGCTCCTGTCACTTCCTGCTTCAGGCATTTGTAAATCTTACCTGTTATTATTGCCATGACAAGTTGAAATAATTGGGGAATGACATTTTTTGAGGAGCTAGTAATACTCACTCTTGTCTTTGTGCTTTTTGTTGTGTCTATTTAAAGCTTGATAGAGGGTTTGGGATTGATTATTTTGTTTTGCTTTTATTACAGTCATGTTCATGGACCAAATGTTCTGGGAACAAAAGGACATTTAGAGATGGCCTGGAAAGCCACAGTCTAAGACCAAAATAATTTAAGCAAAAATGAAATCTCTATTAGCAGGGGTTCACTGATAAGACATAAACATAAATTAAGATTGCTAAATGCTATAAATAAGCAAATTATCTACACTTTTCATATCTGTCATGCTTGTTTTTCTGTTTTAGTGGCAGATAAAGAATGTAGAGAGATTCTGTGCAAGTTCCCAGAGTAAGATCCTAAGTTGGGAACACATAGCTTAGTATCCAGAACAGCGCTCACCTACGGGTGATTTGATGATGCCAGATGTGAGACTTAGGAGAGAATCTGGTTTAACATGAATGTTTCTAAGTATTGTCCTGAATATGGCAAATGAAGACTGGTAGGAATCCAGATTAGTACTCAAAGGGAGCAGGAGCAGAAGTGCTGCATGAAGGTGATTTGTGTCTTTGCTCATGAATATGAATTCTCCCCAGGGAGAGTTGGAAAAGGCTAAAGCAAATAACTAAGAAAGAAAAAGAGAGAGGGAGGACACAACAGCCACTGGCCACCAACAGACAGAGAAACTGGTGTTTAAATATCCCTGTTCCTTTTCCTCCCTGGAGGGATAATGTTCCCTGTATTTTCCCCATGGGGCTAATGGGATTCTCCAAGTGACCATTGTGGAGGCTGACTTAATCACGCCCTCTTCCCCACTCCTTGCTCAAGTTCTTGTGTTTCCTAAATAACTTCATGCACACACAGTCTTGTTTCAGGGTCTGTTATGGAGGAGTGAATACTGAAACCCCACCTAAATTGATGGATGTCCTGGTAGCAGTAGAGGGTATACACATGCTATGGGTCAAAATTCAAATGTTAAAATTCTACCTTGCAGTACTTCAGAATGTGACCTTATTTGGAAATTGGGTTGTTTGCAGATGTAATTAGTTAAGATTAAAGCAGACCAATAATTCAATAAGACTGGAGTCCTTATAAAAACGAGACTATTTGGACACAGACATAGACACTCGCACTGGAAGAATGTCATGTAAACACAAAGGCAGAGATCAGAGTTGTGATGTGTTGCATTGTATACCCCTACAATTTTCAGGCTAAAGTCTTAACCTTTGAGGGGACTGTATTTGGAGATAGGTCCTACACTGAAGTATTGAAGGTTATATGAGTTCATATGGGTAGGGCCCTAATCCCTAACTAATTACATCTGCAAACAACCGCATTTCCAAGTAAGATCACATTCTGAAGAACTGCAAGGCAGAATTTTAACATTTGAATTTTGACCCATAGCATCTCCTGGGACCCTCTCCTGGGACCAGGAGCTACTGGGACCAGGACATCTGACAGTTTAGGTGATGTCTCAGTATTCACACCTCCTTAGTTCTTTTAAGGATCTGTGTCCTGAAAACAAGAGACACTATACAAAGGGCTCTCTCGCTTTCTCCCTCTCTCTCTCTCATTCCCTGCCCTACAACCATTCCACTACCATGTGAGGACACAATGAGATGGCAGTCATCCACAAGGAAGAATACAGCCCGCACCAGAACTGGAATCAACCCACACCTTGATCTTGAGACTTTTCAGTCTCCAGATCTGTGAGAAATTTGTTTCTGGGGTTTAAGTCACCCAGTCTATAGTATTTTGTTCTGGCAACTTGAGCTGACTAATGCAAGGGTGATGAGTCTATAAGCCAAGAAATGCTAAAGGTTGCCAGAAAACCACCAAAAGCTAGGAGACAGGCATAGTACAGAGGTTGCTCATGGCCCTCAGAAGGAACCAACCTTGCTGACATCTTGATCTTGGACTTCTAGCCTCAGAACTATGAGACAGTGCGTTTCTGTTGTTTCAGCCACCCAGTTTGTGGAACTTTGTAAGAGCAGCCCTACTAAATTAACAGAACACATAACTGAAAGGTCATGGTGGTGCACAGACCTTAGACACTCTCTGTGGCCTTCAGCCCGACCGGGCCTGTATTTGAGTGCATATCTATAGGAAAGTCAGAAACTGGAGTCAGATCTGAAACCTATCCTGAGGACAGGATGTGTATCTGTTGTAGCCTAGACTTTGGCTGTGGGTTTTCTTACAATATTACCCCTGTCCCCTCTTTTCATATGTGGGGCTTTTATCTTATTCCTTATTGCTTTCCTCTTTACTCCCTTAGCAATATAGTATATGGAAATAACAGGACTTAGGAACTACAGCAAATTCCTATAAGTAAATCTTTGACTTTCTTAAAAAACATAGACATACATTTGATGCTTACCTTGGGTGTGATTTCCTTGACCTTCAAGGAGTCTGATTTCCTTGACCTTCACCAACTGAACTTTTAAAGAAAACCCTTTACACACAAAAATGAAATAAGTAAGTTAATTAAAATTTAATGAATATAAATAAATAATTTAAGTTCTGCAGCAGAAAAAGCCTTGGAATCGGCACCAGAATATTTGTATTCTAAGACTTACTTTGCTCTACCAGTTAAGTAAATTTCAGAAGTCAGTCTACTTTTCTTAGAGCCTCATTTCTTCATCTATACAATGATGAAATAGGGCTTGGTTACCTCTAAAGCACATAGGCTTTTTACAGCTCCAGTATTCCTGATTTCTGTGATTCATTCTCACCTGTGCCAGGCTTTGCTCCTGGCAGGAATGGGGACCATGAAACTGATGAAGCCATGGAGTAAAACCAGGTGGGGATGGAAATCTCTGGCTCTCCTGCCTAGTTCACATGCCAGGTCCAACCAACATAAATGCATTTGCCAGTAATGACCTTGTGGAGAGCTTTCAAATGCTGAACATTTACACTCATAGATTCTTCTCATTATTATTTTCAGCCTCACTGCACGTTTTGTTTCAATTTGTTTTAAAAATTGTTTTGGAACACTTTCTATTACTAGAAACTTTGACAGTATTGGCAATCATGGTAACATTCTCTCCCACACTGATTTAATGTGGAGTTAGCCTCTTTCCAGAGCATTTACCTAGTGCAGATGTGTGAGCTCTGTTTTTCTCTGATTCCAAAATCAGTTTTTCTCCCCTTAGATGCAATGGCCTAAAGAACTGGTTGCGATTTGAATAGTCTGTCTTCTAAGGTTCTTTGACTCTATGATCATTAAAAATAATTATGAAATAAAATTGTATGTTCATTGTAATTCCATAAAAACATAGTCTGTCATCATTGTTAGATTTGTCAGCATTAGAATTGAAAGAAGTAGATCAAACCAATGTCATTTCAGAGACTTCATGAATGATGTGGAGTTGGTTTGGGTCTTAAATGGGTTTTCTAATTAAGGACAGTAATGAAGGAAGGCATTACTGAAGAACCAATGTGAGCACAAATGAACTGAGAAAGGTACGGGCCATATTCCAGGACATATCCAGCTCTTTACTTTGGGCCAGATGAAAAAGGACGTTAAAGTAACTATTTAATGGGTTTTCTTTTAGAATTATGTAAATGTTTTGGAACTAGAGTAGAGGTGCTGTTTGTATACCACTGTGAATATACTAAATGCCATTGAGTTGTTCATTTTAAAACAATACTTTTATGTTTTGTGAATCATACTTCAAAAAAAAAAATTTAGAAAAAGCAAGAAGGACTTCAAAGGCAAGCCCTATATGTGTTTCTGCTAAATCTGACAAGCAATGTGAGCCCTGTGAAGTCTATGGAAGCTGAGAAGTCACATGATCAAAAAACAAAGAAAACGGTAACAGTTTAGGCGACGAATTGAATAGGGAGATACATGAGGTGGAGAGATCAGCTATATGGTTATTAAAATAGTCTACCTGGTAGCTTAAAACTCAGGGTTATCTTTTCTTTGAACATGTTTTTGTGCAAATTTCTAGACATACATGAAGTTACAGAAAACAGTTTAATAAATTGCATGTACATATCACTCAGCTTCAAATAATTTTTAACATTTTCCTAAGCTGATTCCCTCCCACTCCTCTATCCTGCCCCCAACTCACCTCCACACACATTTTGCTTCACTTTATTCCCTGGAGTACTTTAAGGCAAACTCTAGACATCCTATCATTTCATCATAAACAAACAAACAGACAAACAAAACTTGAGAATACATTTTAAACTTAGAAGGGTATTTTTCTTTCTCCTTCTTCTTCTTCCTATTATGATACAGTACACCTAAGAGAAATACGGGCCAATTTTAATACCATCCAATGTTTTCCTGATTGTATCAAAGATAAATCTTAACAGTCAGGTTGTTCTAGTTAGATCTAAATGAGGACCATATATTGTATTTAGTCATTATATTTCCTAATTTTTTTTTTATCCTACAAATAGCATCCTGATCTTATTTTGTGTATGCCATTGATTCGTTGGAGAAAATGTATCATCCATCTTGCTGAATCCTCCACGTTCTGAGTGTGGCTGCTTGCTGCTAGAGGATTTCATCTTGGACCAGTGGAAACCATCTTCACGTTGGATCTTGTTTCCTATTGATGTGCAAGTGGTATTGAGAGACAATGATCAAGGATCTGGAGTGCTCATTGTTATTGCTTGTCAATACTCCTAGGCATTTTTAAGAAAATAGAGCTAAATATACATGCATGTACAAGAAAAAAAATGAGCTTCTAGTGATATTTATAAACAAATTTAAGATAGCATTGTTTTACTTAATTTTGTTCATTGAATGAACAATGATTGAATGAACAATAATATTGTTCATTGAATAACAATATTATCTCTTATAATGAAAAATAGTAGTTTCTAATTTAATTAATGAACTTATTCATAAAATAGTTTTAAAATAGGTATTAATATAATATCCCTACTAACAATAAGACTACTGAAGGTAGCTTGCATTTTCATTGTCAGGAGCCATTTTTGATGTCCCATTTTTCAAATTACTCACATCAGTGGTATGCGAATTTCTTTTGACTTTGTTTGTTATCAATTCTTCTGGATCAGATTATTTCAATGTTCTCATAATCTGTCTCTCTCCATCCCAATCTCCCCTTCCAAGATATTTTCTAGATTTCTGCCAGAGGTATATTTCTAAAGCACATATTTGATTAAAATAAACAAGCAAAACCAAACCAAACTTCAACGGCATCTCATTATCTGCTCAATGAACTCCAGACTTCTTTCCCTGCAGGTTAAGGTCCTCCGCTGCAGGGTAAAGTGAAATCGTCACAGACTCCAGCTTTCAGAACTTCTCTTAAGACTTCTGCCCCTGTGGATACAGAACTCAGCACTGCTGTACATCCACCATAGAATGTCCTATATATAGGAGAGACAGTAAAAGTTACCAATATCACAAGGCCTTGAGAAAATAACTTAAAAATATCTTGTTAGATGTAGCTCTCTTTTTTAAATCCTTAAGTCTCTTTTTGACTTTTCTTGATTTTTTCCCTCCTTTGACCCTCTTTCCAAACATACTTAATCTCAGACTTCTCTGAATTTTTTTCTTGAATTTTTCAAAAATGGAAATGCATTTTTATCTCCTCCTTTATACAGAATAGTTCTTTCTCAGTTCACACCTTGACACTTACAGCTGCCAATCTATTAATACATGTAATAAAACAATGATATTTCCCAATAGTAGGACTTATTATCCTTGCAGTTTGGCAGACATATTTTATGACTTAAATACATTTTTTTTTTTGCTTTTCACTCACCCTTCTATAACTTCTTTATATTTTATATAGCTAGTTGCTCAGATATGAAAGTGTCATCTTTATTTTTTTTTTAAACACAGGTTTATCCCAAACTGCCTTGCCTATGTTTTATTCGAAGATTATCCCACATTCTGGTGAGGCAAACTCATTTACTTTTTTCATTTTACTTCTATGATATTAAAACTTGCCTAATCGGATTGCATTTTCCCATCATTTCCACCAACTGAAATCTCAATCAATGATTCAAAATTCTGCTTATATGCCATCCTCTTCATGAATTTTTTCCTGTTCAGATTTCAACCTAGTACTGTCTTCAGAGAATTCCAGAAGAGTTCATCTATGCTCCACTTAGGTCATTTACATTATTGTGTCTTGAATTATATTTGTCTATGTCCACATATGTCTCCATTATGAGGGTACATTTGGCCCTGGGGAAGACTTAATTTTATTCACATTAAGGTTATCTAGCAGCTTAATAAATTATATGTTGAAACACAGAATGCAACTTACTGTTACCCAGATTTAGATCACCAAATATCATCTATATTCCCATTATGTCTTTTGAAATTCAATAATGACCTATTTAAAGGATAATATAAAAGGACAGGAAACTTTTCTGAGAACACAATGCATTTTATAGATATTTTATAGATCCTCTTTCTAGAAAAACAGCATATTTCCCACATTTTACAGTCAATTGCATGGTTGCACTTGTTTCCTTTTGGTGCCTTGGTGGAGCTAGAGAACTACTGTTCCCCAGGGTATTTCTATTTCTATGTCTGGGCTGTTTAACTCGTCCCCATGTTCTGCCTATTTAATTGTTCCTCCATTTGTAATTAGTGTGACTAGTGACAGTTCCTAAAGATAATTCCATTATAAAAGGAGAGTTTATGTATTGGAAAAATGAGTTCCACCCAACAAACTACAGATATTCATTATAGAACTGAATCTTACTGAATCCTCACTGATGTGTATGTATGGGTATGTGTGAATGGTGCACTGCTAGGTATTGTCATTCGTGTCAGGTACTGAGAGACAAATAAAACAAAGCAGAACCAGTTGGTACCTGAGAAAGTGTGGGTTATGTGCAGATGTGCAAAAAAAATCATGCATAAAATAAACTGTTAATAAATGTAATTATTCCACTGTTTCCCCTTGTATGTCTTCTCCTCAGGGAACTATGAAAAAGCCAGATGCTGATCTGGGAAATGTCCCAGAATTATTCTTTTGAAAAATATTAACACTCCATTACAAAAGGTCTTGCGGGGAATTATATTGAAACTCAGTTCCTGATGTCTATAAATGTTTAGAAGCAGCAACATATTGGAGCAAACTTGCGATTTGAGGGTGAGCATTATGCAATTGATTAGGAAAAAGGTCAGCTTTGAAATTGTCTTTAAGTATAATTCTACTTCCAATGGCACAGATAGGCCTCTTCCTGTGATTGAAGGGGTAAGCGCTTTCTGAAACCTCCCTCTCACTAGTTAAACATAAGAGAGGTGCTGTTGGTATAGTTCTTGGCATAGGGTAACTGCCCAAGTCACACTGCTCCTTCTGGGGCAGCTGGCACAGTTGGTAGTAAATGCCACTGTTGCGGCATACCTGAGATCCCATGTAAACTGTGGTACCATCTTCTCTATCTGCTGGGCATTAGTGAATTCATAAATTTGATTTGATTCAGAAGTGTAGAAAAGAAGAGACCATTTCTCCTTTCTTGCTAAAGGTAGAAGAATTCCCCTGTGATCATAGTGCTATGATGGTGAAGGTGGGGCAGGAGTAATGCTGAAACACACCTGTTATTTTATGAAAGTTCAGCACTCAGTGCTTTTGTGATGGCAATTATAGCATATGGGTTAGTGCCTTGACATAGTAAGAACTTACAAATTTGGGGGGGATTAGAAGATTGTTTTGAAGTCTGAATGAATATCGCTGCTTACAAAATGGAATAAAATGGTAACATCAAGCTTCGGTGCCAGGGGAGATCTTGGAGTGGAATTTTTCAAGTAACAGGACAGAAGACTTCTGGTGACAGTGGCCCTGTGCACACAGGAGCCAGACCTGTGCTCTACAGTAAAGGAATTTACAGTATGGCTTAACTCCACACTAAAGGATCAAAACATAAGGGGTAGGCATTATAATATGTCTATAAGGTGGGATGGGATGATATGTCTAACTCTGTTTTCCATTATGCAAAGGAAATATATCAACGGAAAGAACATTACGAAAACAGTAAGAAAGCTAGAATAATGTTCATGCAAAACGAACCACCTGGTTCTTATTAAGAACTACCCACCCACTAAATTACCTTGGGTTCTATATAGTAGAGTTGGCTTGCAGGACAAACATAGTTGCTTAGATATGTTTATAAAAATGTATCATTTGGATGAAGAAAAAATTAAATATTCAAACGTATGAGTGATTTCAATCTGAAAAACACGAAGGCTGTTTTTGTCATGGGGTGATTTAAACTATAGCTGACCCAGAGCCATTCGTAAAAGTATGTGTTGAAGGAGGCCAATCCTGATTAGTTAATTAGACAGGGGATAACAACAGAAGAAAATTGTGTACTAAAAAAAATCAAGCTTAGAGGGAGACATTTTTAACTACTGTATAACCACTCCTATTTAGCAAAAAAGAAGAATTTTAACTTCAGGAGGATATGCACTAGATGCCAGAATGAACCACAAGAAATTTCCCTGGTGAACAAACTTAAGACAGAGAGAAAAGATAAGAAAGTTATGGTTCCTCTGAATTATCAGCTCAAATCTTTTTAATTTTCCCAAATTGGAAATATTTGTATACTGTTGGGATGTTGGGCTAAGATTCCCTGAGTTTGCCCTTTTTATGCTTCTAAATAATTGGTTGTTTTAGAGTTTGCCATGCAATAGTGCATTAAATTTGCTTGTACATCTTCTTTGTTCAAGAAGTCATCATGTGGTTAAAGAAAGTGTCTGTCTGGATTTATTTGTAACCCCAACACTGAGTTCAGTGACTGGTATTTAAAGCTACAAAATAGATGGCAGAGGCCCAAATCCTTATAACACTACAATTGTAAGTCTAAGTAGGGCAAATACTCACAAATGTTCAAGTTATGACTTATTTTTTCCTTATTGGAATAAATTACAACAGATAATTGATTTTCAACAACAACTAAATATGTCAATTATATAATTTGCCAAATTTTCATTTGAAATCATTCATTCTGAGAAAATTCATAGGTCTCAAATGTGGATAAATTGAAGTATCTTAACTATGTGAGGCAGGAAGGAGACTTCAGTGCTTTCTTGGGGGGGGTCACATGGACTATGGAAGATCGGGATGATAGCGTCATTACTAGGGCTCTGAGCAGGAAGAGCTGCTTTGGGAAGCTGAGAGGGTGTAGGAGAACGTCAACTGTTAGTTCAACTTATGCAGATTTTGACTGAGACTTTTGCGTTACATCTTGGAAATAGTTAATAGCAGTTGGATATATGGAATCTGATATTGGAGTAAAAGACATATTTAGAAATATAAATGAGGAAATGTTCACATAAGTTTGATATTTAAAGGCATGAGAGACTAAAATTATCCAGAGAAAGAATGTAAATAGTGAAGAGAAGAATACATGAGTATTAAAAATAATCTCAAATTTCTTTGGTCACTGAGGACAGGTGCTGTGAGGGTTAGAGGAAAGGAAAGGAGGAGGTGGCCATGATAAGGTGTAGACCATGGAGGTAGGAGGGTGGGAAGGTGTTGCCAGTGAGGAGGCAACATGAGCATGATGAGGATGATGACTACATAAAAGTTACTATTTGGTAGGAACCATTCTGGCACGTCGCTTGTATTGAGTCATTTCATGCTCAAAGCAACTTATAAAGTAAGCACTACTGTTATCTACATTTTGCAGATGAGGGAACTGCAACTTGCCCAAAGTCATTCTGCTATTAATAAATACAAGAGAATGCAGGACACAAATATATGCAGCCTAACTCTATAAAGTCAAGAGAGAGAACTTGGGACAAAACCGCAGGGCCATTGGCCCTTTCCAGGAGACAGAAAGTCACTAAATACCAATGTCAGGGCAAATACCTGTATCAGGGCCTGTCAGGGCATCTTTGTCAACATTCCAGCTAGTATGAGAATATGGTAGTGTTAATGCCATTGTATTCTAATCATTCAGATACATGCATGTTCCAGAGAAACACCATAAAATAAAATAACAGATTTCTGAGTTAGGCCACATGTGCTGTTTTAACCCGCAATAATAGCTTTAATGGCTAATTGTTAATTTCCACTTTTAATAGATCTACTTGCTGAGACCTTACTTCTTACTCCTCCCTTTCCTTATTGTATCCTCTCCTCTTTTCTTAATCCATACTGTGTGTGTGTGTGTTCCAGGTTTAAGAGCATGGGTCAGCCTAGTATTGTAACTACTAGACATACAATTATTTCCATGGATGATTCTACTGCATGAGGTGTGGTTAGGTGGGACCCTAAGTTCTTACTACAACCATATCAGACACTGGTGCACTAAGCCAGGGTAAGAAAGAAGAGCAAGGGTAGTAACTGTGTACTTCCCCCAGCACATGCTGAGCAGGGCATGTGGTGACTCAGGGATTAAATCTCCCATCCAGAAACTGTGGGTTGCTCTGTCCTGGTTTCAGCATGTCAGCATTTTACGTATTCAGAACTTAGAAATCTTTTTTTGTTTGTTTTCTTTTGTTTTTGTTTTTTAACTCAGAAATATAAAGGGAACTTTTGAAAAACTTTCAAAAGTTTTTCAAATCATTGTTTCCTCCTTATTTTAAGCATAAAAAATACGCCTAAAAACCATTTCATTAGTGAAAGGAAGTTTAGAAGAAGGGAACAGAAAGAGCTAGATTCTTGTCCCCCTCACCCTTGGGCCAGTTAGAGAACAGATTAGATACATACCAAAATTATTTTAGTATTTAGGAAAATAGGCACATTGCATCTTCTAGGTAAATGTTAAGGTGGGCTCAAAATGGAGCTCTGCACAAAAGAGTCACATGTTGGGTGGAGTGTAAGCAATGATGCCCTGGTAGTAAAGTGACAAACGACAAAGACTAGTCATTACTTAATCTAACATTGAAGCTTAATGTCTTGATCATTTGCTTTTTGAGGGCAGGAGCCATGTCTGAATTACCTTTACATAACAGCGTCTACCAGCCTATTACAACTCTATAAAAAAGCCAGCCAGGTGCAGTGGCTTATGCCTATAATCCTGTGCTTTGGGAGGCCAAGGTGTAAGGATAACTTGAGGCCAGGAGTTTGAGACCTGCCTAGGTAACCTAGTAAGACCCTGTCTCTACAAAAATTAAAAATTTTTCAAAATTAGCCTCCTGCATGCCTGTAGTTCCAGCTACTCGAGAGGCTGGGGCGGGAGGAACAATTCTCCTTGTCAAAAACAAGCAGTCCTCGTCTCAACCACACCCTACCTTCATTTGGAGGCTTTCAAGGGCTCTATTATTAAAAGCTATGTAATGCAGCCCTACCTGGCATTCTCTGCAGAAAATTTAAGAGACACAGAAAG